CGCCGTTCCCTAAGGCCCCTCTACCCGTTCCCCCTGCTTCGAGGCAAGTGTATTTATGCATTTTTTTTTATCAAATGTAATCAGCATTCATTTACCAAAATATTCATAAATAACTAATGAACTGTTTACCTAGTGTTTATACTCAAATACATTACCTATGAAAATGAATAAAATACAAGTATTCAAGAAATCAAACAAGAGTTATATATTTCTTTTACTGTTTCTTCTTGTTCCTCATAACTTTTTTTCCTTTGCTAATGGAAGGAAATTTGTTGACCTTTCTTCTCTTTATACTTCGTGTAACTCTTGAAGTGTCTTTTTCATTGTGAAGCTTCACCTGAAACATTTGTTGTTTTATCGTTTAATTTAAGTAAATCTAAGTATTCAAAGTTAGAATTAATCAAAACAAAAATAACTAGTGTATGTTTGGGCCTTTCGGGCTTATAAAAATAACAGTGGTCTTCTAATTAAAAGTGAAAGCATTATGTCATATTTCAACCACATTAAAAAAAATTCTTAATGAGTGATCAGTAAGGGTAATCCAGGGGAAAGTTTATATGGTTTTTGTATAAGAGATAACAGTGGAGATTTATTGTATGCTTTAAAAGTGTTGGAGTTGCAACAAACATGGAAACTGAAACTATGGCCATATGGAACTATGGATTTTCTAATATTCAGCTGGAAACTGACTCATTAAGTTTAAAGCAAATAATTAGAAGTACATGGAAAGTGCCATGGGAGATAACAGAGAAGATAGAGAAGATCAAAGAGATGATGAATCGGCTAAATGTACAAATTGAGTATACTTTTAGAGAGGCAAATCAACTAGCAGATCACATCACAAATACTGTTATCAGTCAAGTAGAATTACAACAGTTTCACAGCTTCAATTAATTATCTAACATGGGAAGGAGAATTCTAAACATGGATAAAAAGGGCATTCCTACCATTAGAATTAAAACAAGGAAGATTACAGTCAATCAGAGTCAAACATGAGGGGGAACCACATTAAAGGGTAGTATTTCACAACTATTACAATTACAAATTAGTTTGTGGCAATTTTCAGGGCAAAATAGTTGTGAGAATAATAACTAGCCAAAGCTAGGTAAGCTGACAAAAACAGATTCCAGAGGAAAAATGAGGATATGGGAACCAGATTAGCGACAATGAGCTTGCATCCAGATGAATGTCCAAGAAGTTAAATTTATCCTAGGAGCATCTTGGGTATGTCCAACCACCTTTACATTTGAAAGATAATGAAGAATCAACCACAAGAAGAAAGGAACAAAGAAGAATGGGAGTGAAAGAATACTTACACAGAGCCTCAGAGCTGGAACACACGACTCTAATCCTCGACAGAGAGGATGCAGACAGTTGATTACCAAAAGAAAAAGGAGAAAGAAGCTCAATTTCGGGGTGAACACAAGGAACATCTGAAATAGAGGAAAAATGATGGAGATGGCAGAAGATCAAATTTGGAAACCCTACAATGTAGGACTTTGTTTTTTGTTATTGTGATTATTACACTGATTCCAGTCACTTTTGGGCTGGATTTGGACTCTTATTGTTAGGTTTCAAGGGCTGCTTTTGAACAATTTATGTTTGAGCATTCAATAAATAGACCACGAGTCCAAATTGTTTTTTTAAAAAAAGTGATTAGTGACTAATTTGAACCAAACCTCAGTGGAAAACAGAAACTATAAAAAAAGATACGGGACCAGCAAGGTTTCAATCATAGGCAGTAATGAAACAAAATTTAAACTGGATACATCTCAAATACTTAAAAAATTTTTTTTATAAAGCTAACAATAAAAGAAACAACACAACACATTTAAAGATTAAAACTTATAACCACAAGCACCCTCTTAATCATTTATCAATCCACGCATATAAGTATCAACTCTCAATTAGAAAACAATATGACACTTAAGACATTTAGGAGAAGGAACAAAGAGAGGCCGAGACTAAATCATTATGAGTGAGGGAGGAGATCAGTACGACATTCCAATCGGGCAGCAACCAACAGTGAGATCAAAGAGGTTCAAATCTTCAACATTTCAAGCAAAAATCCACATGAGAAGCGTAACAACTAGCAAGTAGCAACATAAGCAATATATATGTTTAACCTATATCGATAACACTTAAAAGGAAGAACAAACGCATCTAATAAAGAAACAAAACTCTTAAACAAATTTCTACATATCTGTAAATGTAGATCAAAATACTGAAGAAAGAAGGGATTTACCTCTTTTTGTGCAGCAAACTGAAAAAATGAGTTGAAGATTTCTTACCACCAGAAGATGAGCTTTGGAGAAGACTTCTCACCACCAGAAAATGAGCTACGGCGAACTCCAATGAACCAATGGCTCGGAAACAATAAAAGAAGAGGACGTTTTCCTTCTAAAAAATTTTAAACTTGAAATGCTCTTTTTCAAGACCCCTCTAAAAATTCTTAAACTTGAAATGCTCTTTTCCAAGACCCCTATTTATCGATGAAGAATTTTTGTGTTTTTCGATGGTCCAACTCCCTCCTAAACAGTGAAAACGACAAGGAGGGGGAATTAAGTCGAATACTTTCATAACTGAACCAAACATAAATTTTCGCTCAACTTCCAAATGAAATGGATAATTTATGACACTATGATGGAATCACTGATGCAGTGAACAATACTAACACACTCATTCAATTTTAAAAAATTCAAAGGGGAAAAACCAAGTGCTTGACCAAAATGGAGTGATTTAGAACAAAAACAAGGTATTTAAAGAGAGAACTAAACCAAGATCGTGAATTGTACACTTATAGAAATAAAATCGCTTAAGAGACAAAGTTGAATTCAATGAATGTTATTATAACCATTTAATGCCAAACCATAATACCTATCACAATGAACACACTTAAAGATAAGCATGAATAGTTTCTAGATTAATCATCCTATTTTGAACAAACTAAACTCAAATGAAATAATGAAACAGTGATAATAGATCAAAAATTAAAAGAAACAGGACATCCCCTCCAAATACTCTCCATTAACACCATTTTCTTAGAAAATTTGACGATAGCTTCCAAGCTTTATTTCTTCCAACCATAAACCTACATCCTGACAAAACAAGAGGAGTAACAAAATGTCAGTCATTGTTGCATTCCCTCGTGGACGTATTTTATTCCTCAACCTCGTGTTTTTTCGTCTCCCTGTTAGAGATTTGAGTAAATGTCCATTTAGAAGCTCTAATTAACAAGGAAAGAAACAAAAATAGATATACCATCTAATGCATCTAATATCAGATGCTGCTTACTTTTAGAGGCAATGCACTAAGCCCAAAGTCAGAAACTTGTAAAATGATCCAAATACATACAAAGCACAAATATGAAAACCACCGACTTGTAGTGCTTGGTTTAGTCAGGCTCAACGCGAGGGACTGCACCTTGTGGCGCGAGGTTGGGGTTTGGCATTGGGATTTGTCCAGCAAGCTCCTGTCCCCCGAGCTACATGTTTTGTCCTCCTCTTTCCAACTTGGCGCATAAGCCTAAAATTCTAGATATTTCCTTGATATATAATGTAAAATGGATGAAACAACTCATGAGTCTTGTATTACTAAGCTAGTTACTTTGTATGTATGAGGTGTTACAAAATGATCTTGTAGATATTGTGGACCAAAACTTGACTCTAGAAGGTAATAATAAAATTGACAGACTTTGGTGAATGGTTGAGACATAAAGAATTTACTGTTAAATCAACATGGAACTACATAAAGACACATTGAACATGGGAATGATATGTATATATTCTATATTTGGATAACTAATCATGCCATTCAAATATCTTTCTCTATGTGAAGAGCATGACAATTTAAGATTTCAATTGACGATAAGTTGTTATTAAAGTGTAGGTGTTGCACTGATTCAAATTAGGTTTTTATGAAATTGCCAACAGTTTGCAGATAAAGTAAAGTTTGAAAATATAAATTGTTGAACACAAATTCATCAATATACAAGAAGAAGGGTTTGAAGCAAAGCAAAATTATATGTTTCATTGCTAATTTTAAGCAGTAACAGGAGAGAGCTAACCACCATGACTGATATATCAAATTTTTGATCAATCAACTAAACCCCCACCCTTAAGTCAGACGAAAATGGGAAAAAGTACTTGAATACGAGTAGTGGCATACGAAAATGGATTCAAGAAGCATAGCAATGTCTCTCCTCATCTATCTCGCCACCATTTCGAATTTGAAAATAAAAAATTCCTCCCAGGACAGAGGAATATGCTTGATTCTCATACCAATCCAACCAATTGCTATTGGAATTGTTGACGTCGCTCGCCACTGCCGTTTAGAATCGATTGTTGCCGCTCGAATTGCTGAAGACGTCGTTTGGCTGCTGCGAAATTGTCATCTGCTTCTAAGATGAAGCTTGTGAACATTACTGCCAGCTGTGATGTTAAGATTGGGAATATTATATTGTTGATCTTTTGAAAATGATGGGTTGGGCCGGGTCGGTGTAATTTAGTGGGCTGGAAGGGTTAGCTTAGGAACTGGATTGGGTGAAAAGGAATGGGCTGCCGAGTTTGCAAGCAAGAAGGGAAAATGGGTTGTAAAGTTTGAGGGAAATATTGGCCCAAAAATGGCCCTTTAATATAAGTTGAAAGACTTGGTAAAAAAGTGGCTACAATTGCATTACAAAAACTTAGCTGATTTGAACTTAATTAGGATAGATTCGGCTAGTAATTAAATAATACGAATTGATATTAATCAGTTAACAAGCTTCTTAATTTTAACGGCATCTTATTATGGAACTTAAAAGAGGATCTGATGTATATTCAAAGGTTTCCAACAGTGGGCTTTGGTGGGCTTCTTAAGAAAATGTCTTTTGGGTCTGTTGGGTTTGGCCCAAATTTTGTCTGAAAGTTGAGTTTAGCAAAATAGTCAGATTTATAATAAAATGTGTTAGATTTCAAATTAAGACATGGCCAGATCAGTTTTTAAACATTGCGTCTAGTTTCTTGATAGAGCAATTTTCACATATAGCAAACACAAAATTTATATTTGTATGCTATAGCAAAGTTTGCATAATTGCGCTCCATAGCAAACATAAATATGTATATTTCGCTATACATATACAAAAGAAAGCAGTTGTATAATCTGCTTTGGTATACATATACAAAAAGATCAATTGTATAAAGTGAGAGAGCCGAGTGAGCGAGATCTGGGAGAGTGGCGAGCGAGATCTGGGAGAGGGGAGAGAGGGGAACGAAAATATATGTATATATACAATTTTCTCTCGCTTTATACAAATACAAACGCATTTTATACAATTTGCGTTTTTTGTATAAAGTGAGAGAGGCGAGTGAGTGAGCGAGATCTGGGAGAGTGGCGAGTGAGATTTGGGAGAGGGGAACGAAAATATATGTATATATACAATTTTCTCTCGCTTTCTACAAACACAAACGCATTTTATACAATTTACATTTTTTGTATAAAGTGAGAGACGCGAGATCCGGGAGAGTGGCGAGCGAGATCTGGGAGAGGGGAGCGAAAATATATGTATATATACAATTTTCTCTCACTTTATACAAACACAAACGCACCTTATACACTTGCGTTTGTCTAAAAAAATGAGAGAGGCGAGGGAGAGAACGAGAGTGGCGAGCGAGATTCACCAGGAGAGAGGTGAAATAGCAACAGTTTGCTATGAGGTACAATTAAATCAAACTATATTTATAACATTTAATTTGAATTAATAGTTTGCTATTATATATAATTTTCCCTTTTAATTATAGTCAGTTCTAATTAAGAACGTAACCAAATTTACTAAATTCGGATAGGATTTGAATAAGATTAATTAACAAGCTTCTTAATTTTAACGAAATATATTAATTTTGAGACCATTTTTTTAATATTCATAAAATGTACTATTTAATTATATACATAATTAGATAAAAGCATACACATTATTTAAAATCATAAAAAGTGACAACTATTTTAAGTTAGACTAGGTTTAGCCGCAATTTTCTATACTTCTATACTACTTCAAAGGTGGTAAGCCCTTATAATGCACATATGTCGATACTAGTATATAATAAAAGGTTAGTGGGAGACATGCATTGAAGCCCTTTATTCGATTTGATTATATAGAATAGTAGAGAAAATTTGTAAAACCACCAAAGGACGTTCAAATGTTCCCTTACACTCACGCAGCTTCACACTTGGACATCTCCTCTAGACCTAGATCGTGACAAAAAAAAATGTAAAAATAAAAAAATTTACGATCTATGTTTCTATTTCATAATTTTCTACCATTACATATTAGACTTTTTATATGGTCCTTGGTCCTTTATGTATAATGCCTTTGTATTATCTCAAGCCTACTAGAGAATAATAGATTTCCAAAAGCATTCCTTCTTCAAAATTGCACATAAACATAGCAGTAAAAGACCAGTAAATAAGATTACTGCTTAAAAAATAACAGGAAAAAATGAAATAAGAAAACAATTTCCAACAAGAACTTGATTCATTCGAATTTCATTCGCTGTCTTCGGAGGGACAACAAGAACTCTAATCACTTCATGCATCTTTAAAGATTTAATCTAGCCTTCCCGCTGAGGAGAAAATATTTATTCTTGACACCTGTTTGGCTTTCTCCAACCGAACGTAAAATCTGTCTGCGCTCTTCTACTTGATTATCTGAGATGCATGTTAACGTCAGATAGTTAAACATCAATCTAGACTACAAGGGTGGAAAATTGGTTGGTTGAAGCTGAATAGCGGAGAAACGGATATAGAAAACTCTTCCAGCATGTAGTTCATGGGTGGTTTGGATAGAATGAAAACATAGCATATTTGGGGGGGGAAATTTAAAAAAAAAAGCTATCAATAGACTACTATTAATGTATTTGTCTACTAATTTTCTGGAGTAACATTAAAATGTGAATGATATAAGCACTTCACTGGAATGACTAAAGAGAGAGTAATGCTTGTAATCTTCTATCTATTCCCAGAGCTTAAATGGTGCTTTTACGAGGATAAAATCTTACATCACATATCAAACGGGAACATGTGTAGAACAAGAGGGGAGAGATCTTCAGCCAACAACTAAGTAGCAGACGAATTGCCAGTTAGGGGCTCATTAAGGTTAGAAGATTGTTTAAAGCTAAGGAGCAAGGATGTACCTAAAAGAAGGGAGTTTACGTATAGTGACTATTTAGGAGAGAAGAAAAAGTCAAGGAATTCCAGGTACCAAAAAGAAGCAATAAAGTCTTCGAAGTAAATCACAATTCTACTTCCAAATTGGAACGATAATAGGTATTTATTAGCCGCTTACAATGCTTCTTCTACAAGGATTATTCTTGATAACCAGAAAACTTCTACAACTTGTTTTTCCAGAGTACAAAACTCCATACAAACTGGTGAAACAACCTATCAATAACTATCTGAAGAATTCCTGCAAAACAAAACAAAAAAGGAATAAATAAAATTACCTACATAGCTTTCAATGTAGAAACTGATCAAATATCCAAATCCAATAAACTAAAAGCAGGTTATACAACTCAAAATAAATATGAAAATGAATCTTCACAACATACTACCATACCCGCCTACATGAACTACAGAAAGTCTTTTTTCTCAATATGTATTTTGCATGAGTACACTATGTCCCCAAAGCATTTTCTTCTTGTATCTAATGAAAATTTAGTGTGAACGCGTATCAAGAGAGAACCTACTTGGGCAAGCTCAATATATATACTAGTAAATCGTTCTCGGGGACACAAAACCACCAAAATGCAGATGTTTGCAATGACCAAAACGAGAAGACATTTGAATACAAAGGCATTAGCTTTCTGTATCATCTACTGTAGACTGTGAACGCGTATCAAGAGAGAACCTACTCGGACAAGCTCAATATATGTACTTGTAAATCGTTCTTGGGGACACAACAACCCAAATGCAGATGTTTGCAAAGACCAAAAAGAGAAGACATTGAATACAAAGGCATTAGCTTTCTGTATCATCTACTGTAGACTGTGAACGCGTATCAAGAGAGAACCTACTTGGGCAAGCTCAATATATATACTAGTAAATCGTTCTCGGGGACACAAAACCACCAAAATGCAGATGTTTGCAATGACCAAAACGAGAAGACATTTGAATACAAAGGCATTAGCTTTCTGTATCATCTACTGTAGACTGTGAACGCGTATCAAGAGAGAACCTACTTGGGCAAGCTCAATATATATACTAGTAAATCGTTCTCGGGGACACAAAACCACCAAAATGCAGATGTTTGCAATGACCAAAACGAGAAGACATTTGAATACAAAGGCATTAGCTTTCTGTATCATCTACTGTAGACTGTGAACGCGTATCAAGAGAGAACCTACTTGGGCAAGCTCAATATATATACTAGTAAATCGTTCTCGGGGACACAAAACCACCAAAATGCAGATGTTTGCAATGACCAAAACGAGAAGACATTTGAATACAAAGGCATTAGCTTTCTGTATCATCTACTGTAGACTGTGAACGCGTATCAAGAGAGAACCTACTTGGGCAAGCTCAATATATATACTAGTAAATCGTTCTCGGGGACACAAAACCACCAAAATGCAGATGTTTGCAATGACCAAAACGAGAAAGACATTGAATACAAAGGCATTAGCTTTCTGTATCATATACTGTAGACCAGAGAAGACATTGAATACAAAGGCATTAGCTTTCTGTATCATCTACTGTAGACCAACAGAGGAAAAGAGAAATTTTGACAATGAAAAACATAAATTAGGGGGTGAAAGGGTTAAAGCAATGAATTGTAGTGCCAGATATATGATTGCTTCATTTAATCCTGTGTCATATTAGATATGCATAGGTGAGATCATTGTTTCTCTTTTCTTTTCTTAAATTGGCTTCCTACGTGCCACAGGCTACCCCACATCTTCTTTTTGTGAAACTAGTAAGGTTGTATTCTTCAACATTAAGGATATATGCTGGCTACCTCCAAAAAGGGATAATTACAAATTTCCAATCAAATCTATAATTTGATCTATATCATCTATACAAAGTTGTTAACACCAAAAAAGTAAAGATACTATACAAATTACAATTCCATTTAACTTTGTGAATGGAATTGGACCTATCTTCAAAACATCCTCCATTTCTTTCTCTCCAGACTGACCACCATACACATGATGGTATTAGCTTCCACCATCTCTTTTGACTCTTACTGCCTCCCCTCCTAATCCAGCAGCTCAACAGATCTGATGTATGTTCTGGCATTGTCCAGTTCATGCTTGTGATGTTGAGAAACAGGTTCCAATGCAGGAAAAGATGGTTATTTGTTTCCGCTGTCAAGTTGAACAAAAAAACACCCAGGGACCAACTGCCTTTCTTCTTTAGAACTTCTTGTGTTAGACATGCTCTTTTTATCACTAACCAGGTGAAACACTTTACTTTTGTAGGAATACCACTATTCCAAAAGTAATTCCAATTATATTTTGGGTCCCCTGTCATCCCCTGTAGTCCAGTCCTCTTTTGTAGGCATTGTTGACTGAAAAGACTCCATCCTTACTCTGTTCCACAGGATCTTGTTTGTGGCTGTTGTCGTTATATTCATTCCATCTGGTTTTCCCAGTAGCGCTGCCACCCTCTCCACCTCCCAGTCATTAAGTAGTCATCTAAAAGATATGTCCCATCCCTGTTCTGTCCAACAGTCACTCACTTCAGCATCAGGGTTCTCACAAATTAGAAACAAATCTGAAAAAATTCCCTAAGAGAGGTTTGGTCTATCCAGCCATCTTTCCAAAATTTAGTTTTGTTTCCATTGCCCACCTTGATATACATAGTTCCTTCCATTTGTAACCATAGGTTCCTGATTGGCCTCCATACCCACACCCCATATGGTTCAGAGGCTACCCTCACATCTCAGGGATATCCATTCAGTTGGTTCAATTTCTAACCCTTAGTAGGTCCAGTTTCCAAAGTATCTGGTTCTCCAGTTTCAAGAATTAACATTGACCGAATCAGGGTTTGGTTTGGATATGCTTTTACTAATTCTGATTCTGAAATCCGAATTGGGCCAATAGGGCGCAAAGTTCTCCTTTTCTCCAATTTGGCCCCTGACTCCACAAACCTTGTATTGGGCTGCCACTTGTCAAGCTGGATCCGACAGAGATTTGCCCCTCTCCAATTCTACTAAGTGGATTCTTCTTGTCAAGAGCACACCTTGGGGTATATCTCAAATTAGGAGTTCAACAATAATCTAGAAAACAATTGTTTTATTTGTACACAATGAAACCACATCGTCTTTTCATCAAAAAAATTGTCCAATCCACAATATGTTTGATGCTTTACAAGTCAAAATATCTCATCATCATCCTCTCTTGCTCCTCTACTGCAATTTAGTAGAAGTCATCTTGAGAAGCACTTAACTTAGTGCAATGTAAGTTAGTCGGTTTGCCCCATCTGTGCTGCACTACAGTATATGCACCAAGAAGTAAGGACACACTTGATGCAAACAGATTATTTGAGGAAACACATTGAGCCTAATTCAATCTCAAAAGCTAGTTAATATGTGAGAAATGTCAAAGATCATATAGGGACACAACAATCATTCTCTCAACTAGTGTAAGGCATTTGAATTTCTGTATGCCTAGGGCTGAACATGAAGCATGAACATATGACATGGGGGACCACGTTGAATAAAACCTATAACATGAATGTGTTTGACTCTTTATATCAAAAAAATGAATGCACAATTCTAATACAATGATAAAAGTAAATTTTTATCCTAAATCAGCTTCAAATGCTAGCTCATAAGGTAAGGATTGACTGACACCATACAAGGAGAAAATAACATGTCCCTGCGTATACACTTGAGAGAGGACGTGGATCATCTCTTACTGCATTCTATATAGCATCACTCTTGTGGTGGAAGCTTTTAAGATGGTTCCGGATACAAAGGATCATTCAAAAAAATGGGAAGGATGCACTATTACTTGGGCCTTTAGAGGAAAAGAGAAAAAGCAGATCGTGGATGTTGCTTTATCAGCACTTACATAGATATTATGAGGATAGAGAAAAGGAAGATCTTTGAAGGGAAAGAGCTTGTTTTAGTGCACATAAAGCATAGCATCCTATCTTTAATGTCTTTTTGGTATATACCCATCAGGCTCTTATTTGTATAAAAGATTGGGTGACTTCCCTAGAACTTCTGTCTTTCTGTAAATTCTCTATTTTTTGGTTACCTCTTATAGAAGGGAGTTTCAGTGTTTTAAATATCCAAAGCAAAGACGCAACAAAATTGCTTAAAGTGAGAAGTGAAGTATGAGCTTACAATCAACAGGAAATTAAAAAATATCAAAAATCAACTAATCTAGTACATATCATTTTCATCATGAGAATTTAGTACAATTAAGATTGTTTGGAATTAAAGTAACTTATTTCAGCATCAGCAATGCCGATACCAATCCAACATCCTCAATGTTGAGACATAAACGAACTACCGATTCTTATTGGGATCACTTAGTACACGATTTTTTTTTTATCACAAGGGAAACCCGCAGTCCCTATCCTTTGGATGCGCAAGATAAAAAAAAAAAAAGACAACAGCTCATTACTCAACACCAACATGAGACTTTAACAGAGCAAAACTAAGGAGACAACAGTCTAGTTCGTTTACTATTCCAATAAAATCACAACACTTCATATATAAGATATATAATTTAAATATAGGAACAAGAAGCTTCTCTTTTATGGTTCATTGCTCTATCCTTGGAAGCATCATCTTGTTTTAAGTGACTAGAAAGAAACATGACACTATGCACATGACAATAAACATGAAGTACAGCACACAAACTTGTAAGATATCTAGTGTGCACTTAATTAACAATCATGTGTTGGAGAGAGAATTGTACAAGCACAATGATACCTCTTATTCTGAGGGAAGCATCTTACAAGTAACTCCGTCTCGCACAAGCTGAAGAATTGCATCCTTCAACTTTATATAGTCATCAACCTTATTGTAAACCTGATGAGAAATCCGAGCATATCCTGTCACGTAGCCATCACCATCCGAGCATTCCTTTATTTCCTCGTAGTGAATTGGGACTTCCACCCCAAAATGGTCACGCAAATGATTTCTCAAAGTTAAAGCATCCTTATCGCTGAGAATCCTAAGGTTAACAGGCAAACCAACCATTGCCATACCTGGAGACATGTCAGGAGGGCAGCCAAGCGATGTTCCCCAAGCATTGGCCAACATTTGTCCCATTTCAATCACAGCCTTATGATTCCTCAACCTAATTCCCTCAATCCCACCTTCAAACCTATTTATAAATTCTAACACCTCAGGTATAACTAGCTGAGAGCTGTAGTCTCTCGTCCCTATCCATGCACTTTCAATGGCTAGACCATTACCATATTCATGAGACACCACAGGATGGTGTAGATCAGGTGATACAGGTGATTTCCGACAATACAAAAAGGCAACCGAAGGAGGACAGAAAAACCACTTGTGCAAGTTGCTTACATAAAAATCAGCTCCAATTTCTTTAACATCGACAGGAACACTGCCAATGGCATGGGCAGCATCGACAAACACCCGTTCAACACCTTCTTCCCTACAAATCTTAACCAAATCACGCACAGGTATGACAACACACGGCATTGATGTAATGTGATCAATGATAGCCAACCGAACCTTCTTTCCATTCGCTTTCCCCTTAGCCAAGGCTTTCCGAAACTCCGCAACAATCTCTTCCTCCGAACGAAGAGGAAACGGCAAATGAACAACGATCACAGAACCACCAGCACGGGTGACATAAGCCTCAATCGATTTCTTAACAGCCTGAAACGCACAATGGAGCATGACCACAGCATCTCCCTTCTTGAAACGTCCCTCCGCGAAAGCCCATCCAACATGTTGAAGAACGATTGCAGCAGCAGTAGTAGCGTTATCCACAAGAGATACCTCATCCACGTGCTCCGCATTAATAACATCCTTGATAATAGTCCGTGAATGAAGAATCCGCTTCTGAAGATGGTTAAGGAAGAAGTCATCGGGTTGCTGTAGAAAACGGAGCTGCCAATGCTTCTGAGCTGCGATGATGGACGCCGGACAGCTACCGAAGCTGCCGTTATTGATACGAGCTATCCCGGGCTGATGATGGGAGAACTCTTCACGTATTTCGGAATCCGTAATGAGAGAAGACGAGCTGGTGGACAGCTTAGGTTTCTTAGCCAAATGGCTGTGGTCGGAGCCATTAGCTCGGTGGTCATCGTCGTTCGCCGGTTCCATTTAGGATCAAAACTCAGGTTAGGGTTAGGGTTTTGGTTCACCGGAAGAGACGAGCTATAGGATATGGAGGTAACTGACTCTAGTACACATTTCAAAAGGATTGTTTAATTATTATTTTTAGAGGATAGAGAGTCGCATTTTGGCAACACAGAAATACCGCAAAATTGAAAATCATTAGCGCTATTTTTATTTTTTTGTTATTACTAGTAATGGTAAAATGCTTGTGATAATTATATATATAGGTTGTTGATAAGTGTTAACCCAAAGTTGGATTCACCAAAATCTGCATCATTTCTTGAAAATAAACTTCAACTAGATTGAAAAAGGGAAAGTGCAGAAATAGTCGTTTGAAGGACCACAATTTAAAACATAATTATATTTGTAAAAGAGAAAATGGTCAAATGTCATCTTAAACTATGATCGAATTTTCAACTACACACCTATTTTTTACGAGAGTCCTATCACCCCCTCCCCCCCTATACTGTTTAAAATTGAGATTTTTACCCCCTTAAAAAGTGACAACCACTTTATATTGACAGGTGATGTGCACGCGTTTGACAGCTGAAAATATTATTTAAAACTTTTTTGTGTTTTCTCTTTTTAATTTATTATTCTAAAAATTATGTTGAAGGTCAAAAGGTTGAAATTTGTAGATTTGTGTCTTAGATCTTCATTTTATTGAAACTTTTTTATTATAATGTTGATTGCTAATTGTTGAAGCGGAAAACACTAGGTTGATTGAGTTTATATATAGCTGCGATTTTTGGATTTGAAGAATGTCGGAACTCCATAAAAATCGACGGGCATTCATATGAATTTTGTGAATCTATATTCTCAAATTAGGAGAAACCAAGTTCGTCGATGGTTCGAAGAATTTCGTATGGCTGAAAATCGAAGCTTAAGGATGAACCTTTGAAGCACAACTTGAAACCACCATTAAAGTTAGTTTATAAGCTTGAATTCTAATTTTGACTTACCACAGACGAACTCCATTTTGAATGGGTAATATAAATCAAAAGAGTCGAAATGTTGAGATAAGCTTATATCTAAAATTTGAGGCAATTTGGAGAAGATTTAGGATGGTTTTGCATCAATTTTTTGTAGCAATCATACAAAGAAGATGAAGAACATGAACTGCATTTTTTCAGATTTGCAAGAAAATTACAAGTTGCTAAATCAGTTGAGGAGTATTATTTGAAGCTGAAATAAAATTTATCGATTGAATTGATTGTCTGAAACTTAAAGAAAAATCTTTAAACCGCCATCGATCGAAACTAGCTTCAAATCGGAGAAAATTCAAATCCCAAAAATTGCAAGCACATACAAAAAATTTCATGGGTCTTTTGGGTATTGAATATAGGATCAAAATTTTTTCTTGTACTGAAAGTTTAATCGAAGACAATATGTTGAGTGTCACTATATTAAGCTTAAATTTGTTTGTTTTGAAAGATTTTGAGTCCGTAGTTCCTGATTGTGGAGAAAAAGGGATGGAATTATTAGCTACGATTTGTGGTATATTGATTAATATAATAAGGTTCCCATATAATAATGACGATGGTTTCAAAAATGGTGAGAGGTGGTGTAATTTGGTGGTTGCCATTGATGCTCTACTAAGTTGCTATGGAGAAGAAACCAAATTAGAAGTAGAAAAAAATAAGAAAAATAATTTAAAAAAATTAAAATGCATATATTTATGAAAAAATATTAAAAGTAAAATTTTAATATTTAATTTTCTATCTTCACTCTCTCCAGGAGAGTGCAATACACTCACTTTACTAGGCATCTAGGGTGGTAATAATTTTAGTTTTAAACAGTTTAGGGGGGGTGATAGGACTCCCGTGAAGAATGAGTGTGTAGTTGAGAATTCGGTCATAGCTTAAGAGGGGCATTTGACCATTTTCTCATTTGTAAAATATTAAAATTTTAGCCATCTTGAAATTATGGTCCATATTTCAAGTTCAAAGTGTCAAACTTCGGTCTATCATGTATAAAATTGAACACGTGTATAAGGAAAAATGTGTTTATGCCACGTTGTTTAATAAGAGATGAACGTGTAGAGACGAGGTCCGAAGGATACACAAAGTCTCGAGGAACTGACCCCTAGAGAAGGCGCCATCGGGAAAGGTACAGGGAGAAGCGCTCGTGCTTTTGATGACATGGAGCAAAGACAAAGAGGGCAAGAGGTACAGGTGCTTGTATAGCATTAATTTTAATTTTTCTCCTTGGATGACATATTATATAGCATTTTATCGTAATTTGGCAAATTCAAGTATTTACAATTGGACATAAATTTCAATTTTAGAATTTCAACCCAAAAGTAACATTTTTTGTATCTCCAAATATTGTAATATGTAAGTAAGAACACAATGTTAGAATTAAACACTATCTTATGCTCTCTTCCCAAGAGAATTTAACATGGCACTAATTATTTTCTCATCATCCACTTCTTGTAACAACATTTCTCACTAAGGCATCTATGGACAAACCCCTAACACCTACACAATTGTTTGCCAACTCTAGACATCATCGAGCACAATATTATCGATCAAAAAATTGGCCAGTACATTTGTGTAGCGTCAAGACAAGCTCATGAACCAAACTGGCAGCCAACCTTGAACTAAATCACCACCTATAGGTAGAAATCCATTCTAGAATTCTTTTCACTACCTCTCATAAGAAAAAAATACCACAAAGAAAAGAATTGTATAGGACGAAATGACCATATCATTAGTGTACCAGATCATCTTCTAAAAGAAAATAATCATTGACATAAAAAAATAGCATGAGCTCCAGACCTCCTTGTGTCTTTGACATTTTTGAAGAGTCCGAGCAACATAGACGAAGTTTCCTTCAAGTCAAACATAAAAAAGTACAAGTCCATTAAAAAAAATTGTGTGATAAAGCAATAAAATCTCAAGCATTTTCCTCATAAGCCACTAGGTGTGATGATCGTATACTTTTCATAAGCTTTTGAACTTCATCCTACTTCATTCTTTTGAAACTTTAATGGATTCGTGTCAAACTAAAAAATGAAACAAAACATGGCCATGAATATTGTAACAAGTTTAACAAAGTTGCATATGAATTATAATTATAATTATGATTATTTAACATAAAAATATCTAAATAAATTAGCAAGAACTACTAGATCGTGGTCGCTACTATACACAATTTTTAATTATTTTAATAAATGAAGTTTACTGACCTCACTTTTAAATTTTAAAATTATAATTTGCAATTAAAAATATTAATCAAAACAAAAATTTTGATATAACTATTCTTCTATATAAATGAAAATTCAATAAGATAAAAAAAGGCAAACCAAATTAAGGAGTGGAGTGGAACTAGAAAAAGTAGTTGTAAAATGGTGAAACTTCAAATGCTCATAACTTTGGCCTCGGATGTTCGTTTCAGGTGAATTTTTTTTTGAATTTGGGTATTTTTTCGAGATCTATGCGACCAAATAGCCATAAGGCGGTTTGACTGAGCCAATATTTTGAAAAACATCTTTTAACTCATTCAATTTTGAATTTCCTCCAATTTTGAAGAAAATTGTAATTCTTTATTGCTAAGAATCTGATAAAAGAAATTTGATTTTTGAGTTCGAAATACTTTGATAATGCATATATGAATGTCAATTTTAATGCTAGATAATCAATTTTCTAATAAACAGCTTTTACCTGAAAATTTTAAATTTTCCCCAATTTTCCATAAGGATTTTTGTTCCTTAAATAAGTATGTGAAAAAGATTTGATTAAACAAAATGGATTTGGAGTTGGAAATACCATTTTAATACATAAGTGAAGTCCATTTTAACACCAAGCGTCGGCCAAGGCATGCGCCCATCCTACAGGCGACATAGGCTTGACATTGTTGGTCTTTAACGAGGAATTCCTAGTAAACGTGAGTCATCAGCTCGCGTTGACTACGTCCCTGTACACACCACTCGTCACTACTACCGATTAAATGATACGGTAAAATGTTCGGATCGCAGTGACGTGGGTGGGTCGCTGCCCGCGACGTCACGAGAAGTCCATTTAACCTTATCATTTAGAAGAAAGAGAAGTCGTAACAAGGTTTCCGTAGGTGAACTTGCGGAAGGATCATTGTCAAAATTTGCAAAGTAGAACGACTCGCGAACTCGTTTGACCTTGAAAATCGGCCGGTTTGGTCGTCGGGACCAACTGGCTCTATAACTAAGGTGTTAACGGACGTCCATGAATTTTTTTGGCAAAAGTCACGTCGGAATTCTGGTTCACCAAAAAATCCATGGACTATAGCACACGAAAATCGGCAAAATATGGGGTTTACCTGCTCTGGGCTCGTTTGACCTTGAAAATGGGCCTGTTTGGCCGTCAGGACCAACTGGCTCCATAACTAAGGTCTTATTCGACGTCCATGAAAAATTTCGGCAAAAGTCACATCGAAATTCTGGGTCACCAAAAATTCCATGGACTATAGCACACGAAAATTGGCAAAATGGTGGGTTTACCTGCTCTGGGGCTCGTTTAACCTTGAAAATGGGCCGGTTTGGCCATCGGGACCAACTTCTCTATAACTAAGGTCTTAACGGATGTCCATGAAAATTTTTGGCAAAAGTCACGTCGAAATTCTGGGTCACCAAAAAATCCATGGACTATAACACACGAAAATTGACAAAATGGGGGGTTTACCTGCTCTAGGGCTCGTTTGACCTTAAAAATGGGTCGTTTGGCCGTCGGGACCAACTGGCTCCATAGCTAAGGTATTAACGGACGTCTATGAAATTTTTTGGCAAAATTCACGTCGGAACTCTAGGTCACCAAAAAATCCATGGGCTATATCACATGAAAATCAGCAAAATTGGGGGTTTACCTACTCTGGGGCTCGTTTGACCTTGAAAATGGGTAAAAGTCACATCGAAATTCCGGGTCACCAAAAAATCCATGGACTATATAGCATACGAAAATGGGTAAAATTGAGGGTTTACTTGCTCTGGGCTTGTTTGACCTTGAAAATGGCGCGGTTTGGCCGTCGAGACCTACTGGTTCCATAGCTAAAGTGTTAACGAACGTCCATGAAATTTTTTGTTAAAAGTCACGTCGAAATTCTGGGTCACCAAAAATTCCATGGACTATAGCACATGAAAATTGGCAAAATGAGGGGT